TCCATGTTTATCTTGATCCGTCAGAACCACACTGTTAGAAAATCCGACCATTTAAATAGAGTGGTTGGTGTGCAATTGTTGTAAGGGGTAAATGGGTGTTAAATGAAATCCTGAATGATTTATGGTTTATATATGGTTTATAAGAGCTTACCAACAAAACCAAATCTTTCAAAGTAATATGAGAAACATATATTTCTCTTAACTTAAATTGACACATTTTGTTCCCCGCTTTCGCGAAAGCGATGGGACGTTAAAAACTTTCACTTGGTCATAACTTTGAATGAGAAGAGATAGGGTTTTCAAATTTCACATGAACATTACCTATGACGAAATCTTTCCAAATAAATATTATTTTTGAACCTGTGACCTTGACCTTGACGTTTGACCTATTTTTCAATTTTTTTGTCCCCCGCTTTCGCGAAAGCGAGGGGACATTAAATCTCATTCGTCTGTCCGTCAGTCTGTCAGTCTGTCCGTCTGTCCGTCCGTCACAAAAAATTTAACCTTGCCCATAACTTTTGATTTCGTGGAGCTATGACTTTCATATTTCACATATGTATTCCTTGTGATAAGACCTTTCTTTGGGTACCACCAAATTTGACCTTTTGACCTTGACCTTGGAGTTTGACCCACTCTTACACAAAAAAATTCATACTTTTACTTTGGCCATAACTTTTGAATGGTAGGTACTAGGACTTTTATATTTCACATATATATTCTTTGTGACAAGACCTTTCATTGGATACCAACAACTTTGACCTTTTGACCTTGACCTTGGAGATTTCCGAACTTATGAAAAAACTTTAACCTTGACCATAACTTTTGAACAATACGGGCTAGGGCTTTCATACTTCATACATGTAATCCTTGTGAGAAGGCCTTTCATTAGATACCAAGAACTTTGACCCATTCACCTTGACCTTGGAGTTTGACCTACTTTTTAAAAACTATGACCTTTGCCACAACTTTTGAACAGTAGATACTAGGACTTTCATATTTCACATATGTATTCTTTGTGGCAAGACCTTTCATTTGATATCAACAACCTTGACCTTTTGAAGTTGACCTTGGAGAATTTTCGTACTTATGAAAAAAATCTTTAACCTCTACCATAACTTTTGAATGGCAAGGGCTGAGGCTTTCATACTACATATATGTAATCCTTGTGAGAAGACTTTTCATCAGATACCAAACACTTTAACCCTTTGACCTTGACCTTGGAGTTCAGTGATGATTTCTAAATAAATGATATATGAAAGGGGGTTCATATTACACACAATATGTCATTAAAAATGACATCTCACCCACAAAGACACCGAAAGCGGGGGACCACAATTCCTTGAATTTGCTTGTTTAACACTACTTTAGATTGGTCACAACTTTTGATAGAGAAATGATACGGCTTTTATATTTAATATGTTTATTTTTATCTTGTTAATATACTACAATGTAATGGGCATGACTCTTGACCCTGTGACCTTGAAATTTTACCTATTTTAAAAAAAATGTTATCTTTCCTTATAACTTTTGATTGAGAGGAATTGTGGCTTTTGTTTTTGACATGTGCATTTCCTGTGACAAGATGTCTCCGAGAATGAAATTATTTTTTACCCTTGACCTTAACTTATATGTTTGACCTAATTTTAAATTTTACTTTTGGTAATGAAGACCTGAATGGTATATGATAGGATATTCACATTGCACATAATTTGTCATAAATAATGCATCCCATCCACTGAGACACCAAAGGCATGTGATCACAATGCTTTGAATTTTTTTCTTCAAATTATTATTAAATGAACTTTTCAAGAAAAAACTATACATTCCATAGAAAGGTTGGTTTATCTTTTTCAACACACATATGCAATGTTTTATTCTATTGTACATGTAATCGAAGTTGGCAACGTACCATTACAAAGTACATGTAATCATGTGATCTGTTGATGAGTGACGTATCGAGGGTAACAAGGTATGATTACGTCATTGGGGAATTGAATCGGAATGTTTCTCCTCCCTCAATTCCATTGACAATACAAAAATAAAAAGAGAGCAGGGTTTGTCATTTAACACTAAACAAGTGAGGCAATTATGTCCGTTTTTCTGAGATAGACAAAGAATAACTTTTTTTTCTTCGCCATACATCTGTTTTTGTCATAAAGCTTCTGATCTATTAGACCTGCGGCTATCATTGATCATTTCTTTACTCTCGATCAATGGCTTTGTAGTTCGATTTACAAGTCTCTAGTTTTGCATCGAAATTAATGATGGAAGCCGACAAACACACGTGGTTTTAGCTGTTCCACGTGTCTAATCTCGTATATCCACGCGAATTCCCGTGCTGAATGACGTCATTGGTCATGTAGATTTAAGGCTGCTGGCCACCTTATGCACATTTAGCTACGTGATATATCTCACTGATTTATCAACGATGAAAGAAATGATTAATGAGGGAAAAATAAGTCTTCCTTTTTAAAATATATATCGCTATTTCACATGAATCTATAAAGACCAGCTATTATCCCGTTCAGATAGTCTGCTGAGTAGACAAGAAAACTGCAGAGATTATCTACTTCAGACAGATTGCAATTTGGTGCATTGTATCAACAATGCATTTATTATTTTTCCAAGAATATCTACCCGGTACGTAACTTATATAACAGGTCAACAAATAGTTCCTTCACATCACCTTTGGTGGTTTTATTCGTTGTTATATTAATTTAAAAAATGTTTTTAAAAAATCAAATCTATAACCCATAAGCTGAAAAAGTAAAAAAAAAAAAAAAAAAAAAAAACCAATTAGTATACATGCGTGTATATAAACGATTAACTGGTATGCTTTTTAATCAGTCAAATAATTGCCGATAATGGATTTTGAAACGCTCAAAATAAATACACGTTAGTTCCCAATCTTCTGAGAAAAGAATAAAGACAACTAATTAAAAATTTATTTAATTTTCTGGACAAATAGACAAAAATCTGAAACCTCTTTGATGGAATCTGTCTAGTAACCAGAATAAGGCATCTCGGAGAGTAACCAACTCAAAGCGTCTCAGAGAGTAACCAGATTAAAGCGCCTCAGAGAGTAACCAGGTTAAAGCGTCTCGGAGAGTAACTAGGTCAAAGCGCCTTGAAGAGTAACCAGGAAGTAATAATCGGCGTAGCAGGATCTACGAGTAACATCGTACAGCAACAACAAAATTGTCAACACAGCGGCGGTGAACATGCAATATAAGAACAAAATCAGGGTGGCCCGCATCCTGTTTCGTTTATATTTGATATATAGTGCAATATGTTTACAAAGACAGAAGGAATATTGAAAACGTCTGTTCTGTCTAAGCATAAGTTAACAATGAACCACATGAAACTTTTATTATCAATCGTCAATCATCGTATTTATAATACACTGTAAAGCACAAAAGTACTATTACCATGGGGATAATGGACATTTTATTTTTTTTTATCAACCAATCACATTACCGGACATTACCGATAATCCGCATTTGGATTTAACTTTCATTGAAGTATGATTATCTTAATATCGCATACCTCATAATCATTTTCCCATGCAATTTAACGGTGGACAGAGCTTGATTCATAGCCTATTTATGTAGGGAATTTATTTTTGTTATATGGGGTTTGGCGATAATTTTTTTTCGTAGTATTGCTTCTTCATTTTTTGAGTTGGTGAACTCATTTCAACCTGAGTGTGCTATTAATGGCATGTTATATGCCCACAGTACAAGGAAAAAGAGGACGACTTTTGTACGACATCTGACAGAAAAATGGCTTCCCGTAATCTAATTGTCTATCTGTAATTGCGTTCATCGAGTGAAGGCATCCAGAATGCTTTTTTCTTGTTACTCGGAGGGATGTCATAATTGTCGAGGAATGGAGTTTGAAAATCTGTGATGACACATTCGCCGAAAGCTTCCAAAGATCAAGAGGATATTCCACATAACGCTTATCGCGCGCTTTGCACGTGGTGCACTTTTTTCGAGGAGTCCTTCCATTGTAATTTTAAGCAAACCTCCCTAATATAAAATTTTATATGTTATGTAAAGAACGTTCAATTCTCTTTCATCAACAATCGATTAAGTACTCATAAAACAAAAGCTGTTTGAAGCTACTTTGAATTTCGTTTTGGCACCATTTTATTTTTGTTAAATAAAATAACCTCATGGAAATAATACTTAGGGAGACTGGTATTGGTGGCCACGCCCAGTGTTCTCTCGGACTTTTATATACTCAAGAACGATTTAGGCAGAAATAAATTTTCGAGACATTTAATACCATAGCCCGTATCTCGTCAATCGGAGGGGGGAAATATTTTCCTGTTAATTATTTTGATTTATCAATTACAAAATACAGTATATTGAACGATGATGGAAACGTGTATCAATAAATTATTGAAGACACGAGGGAGTTGTTTGCTATTATCGGTATTTTGCAGGCATTGATGTTTTATTTGCTTATAACAGTTCAATTTTGTCGATTTAATTAATTACTTCTGCTCAGATTTAATAGTCGTAGCTTACATTGTGCCATCCATGAATGGTTTATGATTGTTTTCACTGAGTGTTCTATTTGAAGAAATCATAATTCCAGATTTTTTCCCTTAGTCGCTGTATTTCTTTTTTTTATCATTGAATATATGTTTGTTATAATTTGGTCCCATTGTTTGAACTACTAGAAAATACAATTAATATTTTTCCAGGAAGGCTTGACCTTGTTTCAACGTGCTATATTTATAATTGGTTACAAATATACTTATACCAATACAGTTCAGGTTTATTTTGTATTTACATCATATTAACACTACAAACATAAAAAAAGTAGGCTTCGTTTTATGAGTTGGAAAGATTAAAAAATTGCCTCGTAGAGGAACAATTTTGTTTATCTAATTTATCGAAGTTTTCCTCTCATAGACACAGGGGAATTTATCCTCGTTGTTTTACATGAAATATCAGCCATTTTTTTTTAAATTCCAATGTCTTTTGCAGGCTATGGTCACAGCACCCCTCAGACGGACAGCGGGAAAATCTTCTGTATGTGGTACGCTCTCGTGGGGATTCCCCTCTGTCTCATCATGTTCCAAAGTGTCGGCGAACGTCTCAACACATTTGTGACGTTTCTTCTCAAACAAATCAAAAAATGCTTCAGGAGAAAGAATTGTGAAGTTTCGCAGACAAACCTAATTATGGTAGCCTGTATTTTGTCTTGTTTATTTTTGACCGTGGGGGCAGTTGTTTTTACGTACTACGAGGACTGGTCGTATTTAGACGCCTTTTACTATTGTTTTATCACGCTTACCACTATTGGATTTGGTGACTACGTGGCTTTACAAAGCAACAATGCGCTGCAGGACAATCCACAGTACGTGACTTTTAGTTTGATATTCATTCTCTTTGGATTAACGGTCATCTCTGCAGCAATGAACCTTTTAGTATTAAGATTTTTAACGATGAATACCGAAGACGAACAAAGAGACGAGTTAGAAGCAGCTGCGGCTGCGCAGACTGCAGTACGATTAGAAGGTGACGTCATTACTTCCAATGGCAACGTTGTGTCAGGTGCTCAAGAAAATCCGGAATTAAATGACGTCACGTCCGTGTGCTCATGTTCATGCTACAATCTGCGGAAGAATAAAAACCGATACACAGTAACTCGGCTTCCAGGGAAAATTTCGCATCTTTTACCGATGCACAGTGTCAGTTCTGGCAAGGACGATAACTTTATGTCAGACGTCGAGTCCAATTCTGTCTTACATTTTCAACATATTAATTCAAAAAGGGCATCGGTATAAAATTACATTTGAAGACTTCATATCACAGGAGAAATTGAGTGGGGAATACTTTATTATATATTTTTACATTGGTACTGAGTTGTGTGCGAAAATTATCCAATTATCATTATCATATCATGTATCCATTCAACCAGATTCTATTTTTGCATACTTAGTATGTTGACCTTCTTTATTATATTGTAGAATGTATACAGAGAATTGCTGACGCTTTGGGGGACGGTTGCGATTGCGTACATAACACGCTGACGTGTAAATGTTTATGGACAAACGTGTATTGCTCTATATTTACCAATATCTTATTAAATTAACGGTCATCACCAGGATTTCTATTTTTAGACAAATTGTCGTTGACCTGTCGGGATATATAAGTACATGTACTGCACTTACAATGATAAAGAAATTATTTTGATTAGTATGGGGATAAATATGCAAAATATCTATTAATCCAAAATGCTTTTATTATTGCCATGGGAATACACATTGTAATTGCACTCAGTGGGTAAAACTTCGACGATACATATGTGCATTTGAATATCTTTGTATACAGTAAAAATACAAAGTAGACAAATATCTCCCAAAAAAGTCAGTTGATAGGAAAGAATCAATTGAAATTGTATTAATGCTCTCCTGTAATTAACGGCGGACTTTGGGAATAAGATATCCCCCTGTAGAATTTAGTATGACTTCCTGGTTTTAAAATGTTTACAAACAGCGTGTTTAAAGAAAATGCCAGAATTAAATTATTAAAAAGTATCTTATTCCTTTATAAATGTTTTCGAAACACCAATATACGTAGCTTTCACGTGTGTTTCACAAACTTTTGTTTCTATTTACCTTTTTGCAAGTTTTTGCCTGACTGTTTATGAGCACTAATTTTCTCCAGTTAATATAATACTCTGCGTTTTATTGATATTTATATATATTGCAATATTCTTTACTGTTCGTTAATTATGAGTGGTGGGGGATGATAAATTGTTACAGCAATAAGTGTATTGTGTGAGAGCAAGTCAGAACTGAATGACTGAAACGTTTTTTTTTTTAAAATATGTTCTTGTTAAATTAGTAGAAAGTAGAACTGTTATATTTGTGTTAATGACATAAAAAGGATAATTAATGATATTTTTCAACAACGCCATATGTATCAAATATATTCCTTTACTTCGATAATGTGAGCAGTTTTTATTTCAGAGGGACACGTGATTCAGTTCAAAATTACTAGTATTACATCTTTTGTCTTTGATCATTTTTTCGATCCATTGTCATTATGATATTCTGTTTCTTTTGAACTTGGTATTCGTTGGTATGTTGTTTCTATTTTCATTGTGACATATGGTATCCAAATGTTGCAGACCTTTACTGCTATAAATCAAAGAAGAAACACGAGTGAGATGGGTAAACAGTACTAAACGTTGTTCATAAATAATTCTTTATGTTTGTTCATACCTTCATTAAGGATATGATGAAAGTTCCAACATACGAATAGTTTATGTTCAATACGTCGGTCATTCCTTTGTTCTAACTTTGATTAGAAGGATTATATTTTAATTCTTGATATGAATCATTACAGTGAATTTTTATTCTTAGTTTAGAATGAAACTTATGATGCAAAAATATAAACACATTTTCTTTTTAGGACGGGGTGATAATTTAAATGGTATTTCCATATGAGACCTATCCGAGTTCAAAACTGTATATCTCATTAAAGGTGATTTTGCAGTAAACGTTTGTACAATTTATCTATAAAAATATTAAAAAGTTCGCCAACTTATTTCATTATTTTCCAACAAAACCAATATGTTATAATTCTAACCAATGAAGAATTATTTAGATGAGGAATTTTAATATTGATCTTCTTTTCTGACCCTAACTTCATGAAAAATATTAATAATTTTGTCTGTGATTTTTATTTATTGTTAGATAAACCTCGTTTCCTCAGCGGAATTTTGAAATGTGTCCTTCTTCCAATACCATATGTGTGAATAAGGGCTGAACTTTTTTCATATTTTTTGAAATCAAATAAATTTTATACAAAGTTGCTGATCATAGTCACTGTCTTTTTAATTAGTTTTTAGTAAGGATACATGTATATGGAAGTAATTAAGTAACAATCTAGATCATTCTCAACGAAGAGGTGGATGTAGGTAAGATTTAGCAATTTTGACCATTAGAATCTTCTGAATAAATTTATATATCTGATCCATTTCGCAAAAAAGCATTGGTAATGGACAACTGCTTACAAATTCATGATCACATATCATGTCTACGCTGGTTTGGACGGTCCGATAAATGCTTGGCCCGGTCACCGTGAACCAGTACAGTGCTGCTGTGACACAAAATGGTCGATACTTCACTTCCGCACAAAGTAGGCATAAGACTTAAGTATAAGTGAAATAGTGTTTTTTTTTTAAAGAACTTAGTATTAAAACTTGGCGACTTAATGACTTTCAGATAATATTCAAAACCAACAGAGTTCTAATAATTTAGTATATCATTTGAACAATTCTAAAGAGAACATATAAAATATGTTCAAAACAAAGGGAGGGGGCTTTTGTTGCTAAGTTTGTACACGAGTGCAAGATAGGAATTTCGAATGATCGTTTTGAAAATACAATTTGTAGTTTGCAAGAATCAAGTATTTCTGACTACAGTATTTATGTTGCTTTTTAATCGCAATGAAGTGATCTTATCAAGATTTCCAATATATTGACAAAGCTTCAGATTTATAGTTATGGTTCCTTATGAGAGGGGATACGAATTACTTTCGTCAATTTCAGGCCTAGCTGTTCAAAACCACTACAATTTATTGTAAATGCTATGTAGAAATATGTTTAAGTTGAATGGCATTTTAAAATTGAAATAATGAATCTAGATGCTAGATCAAAGTAGTTCATTCTTTCCTTTTATATATCGGAAACCGTTTTCTAGTCACTCATTTTAAATTGTAAAATCAGTGAGGTACATATTTCAAGTTACTATAGTCTGTGTGAATCTTAAGAATCTTCGGTGTGACAAGGTTAAGATTCTTGTTTATGAGACTGTTTACGGTTTCTCATTAACTCCCGCCATCTGATGCCTGGGCCGACAAAATTATATTCAATATATTTTGCTCCTGGTGTCATAAATACCAAGAAGATTGATTCTTTTATTTAAATTTCTTTCGAATCAACAAATAGAGACCTGTATTTGACATTCTTAGCGAAAGTTTATATCGAGGCCAACTCTGCAAATCAACGTCTTCATAATGAATATTCAACGTTTATGATTGTTAAACCACCATGAACAATAGATTAGGGTTCCAACTTCCAATTCAATATTGTCGCAATCAGTGAGATTTTATATTTGTTTCTAGAAACTTTTTGAGCGTTTTGTGACCAGTCAAAAATCAATTCAGTCGTAGAAATTTGCTTTTTCTGCAGCTTATTTGATGTTGCTAAAAGAAAAAAAGGTTACATATCAGTTATATGTATGACTGAATTCTTTGTGCTTTGATTTTGCTCGCCTTCGCGGGCCTGCCATTAACGAGCGCGACATCCTAATTTTATCTTAGCAGTTGGGAAAACAATACCAAGTCATTTGAATTTCTGCATGGAAAAAGACTATTGCAGACGCGAGTTGGACACAAGAAATCGATAGCGTGAACTGTCCAATCGATGTCAACGGCGGAAGCAGGGACAATGTTACAAGGTGACGATGGCGGGCCGTCGATATTCCTCTGTACTAACAGGAAGAAAAGCCTGTCTCAAATTTCTCCCCAGCCGCTTCAAATCTGCAAGTCTGACAAGCTTATGGGGAGACAAACTGCCTTCCGAACTAGATTTGTCATTGCCCAATGGAGGATGAACTAGATTGCAAAGCAAGTCTCCAACTATTGTTGAAACCTCTGTCATCGGATGTTTGCATATTAGCCCCTTAATTAAACCACCTGTTAATGAACTTTCTAATAAAGTTAGAAAATAAGGGAAATAATTTTCTTCTTTTATGATAAAAGCTCTCTTTTTTTATCGTCAGCAACATTCTTCGCAAACATATCTACCAAGAGTCAAACAAGAGGCCCATCAGCCACGGCGTCCACCTGGGTTAACTTGATCCCTACTGTCCTTCAGATTTTATCCTCTCTTTATTCTTATGAAAGATGCTGACCCTTTATAGTGGCCAGCTCCAAGGGGTTAGGGACTTAGTCAATCTTTAAAACACAACATAAGGATACTTCTACATCAGCATTACTGTTATGGCCATGCTGTTCTTTTGAAGATTAATTTCTCCATGTTTATGTGCATTATGAAAAAAATTACCTCAAAATTTAGCTTTCTTCTAGCCACAGGATCCATAATTTTTAGAAGAAAACTGAAACCACACAATGTGAAAATCTATAGTCCTGTTAATCTAAAAAGATCTGTATTCATTATTTTCACAAAAACCTATCAAGTAAAGTTTGATCTAGTTTAAGCCCCAGCCTAACCCCAAAGGTCGTATTTTTGAATAACCTGCTCCTATGATGCTACCACATTTTTAGGCGACTAATCGTGATAAATTACCCGGGTATATGACGAGCAAGGAACAAATGTCGTTCAAAAGCTTACTTGACCCCTTGAGTCGTAGTGAGCTACATATGGATTTATATTTTAAACTCATTTTCTTAGTGCCAGGTTATGCAGTTTCTGTTGATTATATACCTATGGCACAGTGTCCGAACCTTCATTTTATCAGATTTTTAATTTTCTTCCCCCAAAAGTCTATACTAAGTCTTTGATAAAAATGGCCATGTACCTCTGAAGAAAAGGGCGAAAATGTAAAGTTCACATCAACAACACTGACTTTAGCCTTTGGCTCAGGTGAGCTATAAATGGATTAATGGCGTAATCCCCAAATATAGATAATTTTTAGTTGCCAGGATATGCAAAGAATGGCATACCATACATTTATTAGTGTTCGCTTTGTCTGACTTGAAGTGGACCTCCACTGACATTAGTCGCCAATCTACATGCCTTATTTCCTCCCTCCTCAACTATTACGTCCATCATGTACAGCTTGGGTTCATTGGCAGTGTTGTTTCCCCCCTTCACCAGTATCTTCAGATGACTTTGTTGCACTTGATTTGTTGTTTAATACTATGAGATGAGTTTTGTTACTTTCATTACTTTCGCAAAATCTGAAGGTCAATCGCGGTTTAGCGTTTTCGTGGTCGAATTTCAGCAGTAATCCCTCAACTTTTTAACTGTTAAATTTTTGTTCAGATTTTTTCAATTTATTTTATCAGTAGGTCTCTAATAGCACCTGCATGTAATAACATCATAAACCATTAATAACTCTGACCTATAAATTTATATATGTTAATGTATATTCTTGTTCTGTAAACGAGCCCAAGCTATCGCTTGCCTTTGGTAGAGGATTTCACACGTGTCTGCAAGTTTCATTTTATACTCTCTCTCTCTCTCTAAATTCAATGATCTCATGCTCTAAAACTCTTTACAACCTCTCAAAGAACACGATGAAACAATTGATTCACTTCTCGATTATTTGGCATTATTTCTCATTACCGACGCTCTCAGAGAAAACTCCACTATTAATAGATTTTACTTTGGTTTAACAATCCCCTACAAACGATGATAATTAATCGTAGGGGATCGCACTCCAGCTTTGGAGAGCAGTAAACTGGTTCTTGTGAAGCTAATCACTCTCTAACATGTTTCTAGAGTGGCAGCCCTCGAGTCTTCGCGTCAAGTTCTTCGCAGTTTGTTGTCTTCTTGTCCTTTACTTCAGAGACTATAACAAAACTCTCATTACTTACATTTTCAACTTTTTTTCTTTTTTGGACAATGAATTTTAATATTCTCTAAATCATTGAACTAGCTTAGCTAGGTGAATAAAATAAAATGTGGTCAGGGTTTATAAATTCAGCTATGAGAGTCAATCTTTTCCCTTTAATTTAACTAAAGTTATTTAAATATAATGCAATGTTTTGAAAGAAAAAAAAAGATTTTATTATGAAGAATCTACTATGTTCGTGTCATCTGAGTTGATACACCTCACTTGTATTTATGCAATAAAAAAAATTCCACTAACACTTACATGTGGTGTTTTTATCTCCCGTCTGTTTCGAAACGAACGAAATGTTTTCCAAATACGACAAATGTAACTGAAGTAGCTAACAAATAAGTTGATGTTCCAGGTCTTTCTTAAATCTTGAGAAATGGACCGTTTTGTGGTATTATCCTTTATCCGATCAATATAGAGGAATTTTGTCGGGGGATGCTTTTTTCTCCTGTGCAACTGATCCCAACTCTCGTGTTTCCAGAGGTCTTTAGTGGCAATATAGCAGGATAGGTGTCCATCCCTAGGTAGTTCTCTCTGTTTGTCATTCTATCCTAACACGGGGTAGCTATCCATTATAAGCAACTCCTGCTGTACTATGAAATGCAGTTTAAGGTGAGTTTTGTAGAATCTTCATAACATCTCCTACTAATATGTTTAATTCTTGAGGGTAGTATAACGAAGATTGACATCGTCCACGAACTTTTCGAACAAACCTCATATTTGTGGTTCCCCATATCGAAATAGGGACATTTCACAGAGTATATTTCAAAAGCATTCATTGTAAAACATCTACTTAACGTTTTGATGCAAGTGCCTCAGCAAAAATAAATAGTAAAATTTATATACTAAGAAGACTAGTCAATTTACTGTCCATACAATCATTACCTTAAAAGTAGTTTTATTAGGTATTGGGTAGATTGACTAGATAACGTTAGTAAGGTAACTTTCACTAGGTTAGAAGGTATCTATACGCCCCCGCTCCATGTGATACCTACTACTCACTATATTAGCCAATAGAGAGAATGATTACTAATCCCAACGAACGCTTTAAGAGGCAAAATAGTTAAATTAACAAGGTATTTCTTTCAGTGAGTTTATGATTTAGTAAGTTTACACTATATGTACACATATTGACAATCCCGGAAGCTGGAAACTTTAATTTAAAGAAAAATGCAAATTTCTTCACTTCTTACTTCCAATTCAGGATTTTTTTCCCCTAAGAAGTAAAAGGATTAAAATGGCGCTATAATATATTCACAATTCGTCGCCTCGGCCACTTTATATCGGTCTCATAAAGGATTTCTTATTGGTTTATTGATCAAGAAAAGATTTTAATTAGCCAATAATGGCCAATGTTAATTACGAGTTTATAACTGCCCTTTTTGCACTTTGATTCAAGTACATTAAGGTCAAAGTGTCATGTCATACAAAAAAGATCCTCAAATGTATGGCAAATACAAATGTATTTCGAAGAACTTAAAGATATAAAATGTGAAAATATGGTCCGTGGTTTAAATATACAAAAAATTAAAAGTAAAACTGGAGAAATGATTGGTGCTTTACAAGAAACTGTAAAATTCGTTACGATCTTGAAAGTTGTGCGAGAAAAAGGAAAATTGGGATAATCAGGCACTTATTGGAGAAATCTGAACTTCTCCCATGTCACCGTAAATAAGGTTCCCCGGGATTGTTATTGGGCCAATATCCTGAATTTAAAGAGTTCCATTTATGTTCAAAGATCAGGAAAGATGTTCAAAAGGGCATGCGCAGTCACGAAGACGGAACATAATTTAACTGCCAACGTCAAAAATAGATTTTATTCTAAAATTGTTTAATTTTAGTCATTTTATTACTCAATCTACAGTCAGCCATATAAATGGTTTACAAAATTCTATAACATATACATTTTATGTAGTTTCATATTTTGATCCTTCTTTCTTTTCTATTTACTGCTAAAGATTTTCCACGACTACCTACAAATAAAGATTACTAATAAATATTGCCTGTTTAAATTTACTAGTCAATCAAGTATGGAGATTTCAAAAAAATATTCTAAAATATTAAACTTTTATCAATCAAATTCAGTAAGAAAGATTCATTTTAAGTGACTTTCTCTATTAAAAGTTTTACTTTCTTTGATGTCAGGATTTTTGAGTTTGCCAAGATTAGGATTAACAGTGCAAGAGACAGAACAGTTAAAATCCGTAGGTTAGTATCAGTGATTTGTATTCATAATGCCGATTTTAAGATAATAATGGTCATTTCTTCTGTTTTCAATTCCTTGAAAGATACCAAACTTGTCCAGAGAACATTATGCAAAAACACAAGTTCCTAATGCAAAAAAGAAGTCCTTATTTGACAAAAACTTTTGCATGCTAACACCGAGACCGGTCCAAAGCTGTTATGATTTATGCCATGAATAACTTTAAAATATCATGCACTCCTCTATTTAATTTGATTTTCATAATGTCAATACACGTATAGGCCTCAGCAAGTTGTTTCCTCCAAAGAGATATTGTAATTTAGATTTACTTAAATTTGGTTCATGTAGTTTTCAAAATATTAAAATTATAATTACAACAGTGAAAACCTTCCAGCAAAACAACTGTTACATCTGTTGTTACAGAACCATACTCATGCGTCTCACCTGGCAGACGTAGGAGGGATACAGGACCATCTGTTGTACAGGGATTGCTGCGACCCAGTTTGTTCACGGCTAACACTCGTATTTTATACTTGTGTCCCATTTCTAGGTCAGCGATCCTGTAGGTCGTCACTGGGGGCTCCGTGTTTCCGGTCCTTATCCATTTCTTCTTTATAAAGTCAAATCGTTCCACGTGGTAGGCGAGTATGGGTAGTCCATAGTCTATTTTTGGTTCTTTCCATTCTATGGTAAGAGTATGGGTGGTGGCATCAATTACCTTCACGTGTCTTGGCGGGGAGGGTACACCTATAAGAAATATAAATCACCTTTATCATAAAATATTTACATTTCCAATGTCTTTGTCCGAGATAGAATTACAGATTGTAAATGTAGTCTATTTCCCCATCAATGCATTGGTTCATCAATAGGCGCGGTTGAAAAAATCACGTGCAGGGCGGGACAAATATCTAGACAGAAGCAGGGCTTGGAGCACGTGGATTGGCGGAATCAAAAGCATGTAAATATAAGGAATAACTGTCAGATTTTTCAATTTCATGACGTTGATCAATCGATTGGCTTGCGTGATAATTTTATGCATAAACGCCGAAGGCGTTTATGCAAATTATCACTCAAGCCAATCGATTGATCACATTATATTTACATCCACTGAATATTTTCTCCTGTATTTCTTAAGAAAACCCATTGCGTTAATCACTGCATGAACTACATTAGGCATGTCGCCTGTTCAGATTTCTTGATCAGTGGCTGTTCCATCAATGAAACGTATAAAGACGTTCGCATCATTAATACAATAATTAATCTTTTTAATCCTACTTTAAATGATTATTTAAACAGATATTAATATAAACAATAAAATGTCTTTCTTTGTTTGTTATTACTGGAATTAACGGTCGCAGCTATTGCAGAAAAAATACATAACCCGCGTACACGGGTTATGTATTTTTTCTGCAACAGCTGCGACCGTTAATTCCAGTAATGACAAACAAAGAAAGCATTTTATTGTTTAAATGAAATCGAAAAATTAGACAGTTATTCCTTAAATGGACACACATAACATCACAGGATCTTGTACATCTTTAAAAGGAATAATACTCTAATCTGAGATTTGGAGACTCGGTAATCTCATGCAGTCATGTGAATAATATGACAATTTAACCAGGCTTAAAAAATTATATAATATTGTTTTGTATCTGCAATTTTTCTAGTAACCATTTTCAAAAGATAAAGGGGAAAGAAATAAAGATAAATATATTCTTTTAGTTCAAGTTTATAACTGGATCATATATTATATCTAAAACTTAATTAATTTTTCCTTTTTAATAAGTTTCATCTGAGGATTTTCCTGATTAACCTGGTTCAACAATGCCTTTAACTGAATATTCGGACATATGAAACTCAGCCCTGACGATAACATCTAATGAGGTTCTCTCTAAAAGGTCTTTTATCCTCTTCTTTTCAAATATATTTGAAACCACATCCTTTACTGATGAAGTCTGATTGAATTTTTTGATGGTGTCTCTTGACGAAAACCGGAAGTCCATTTTTGGAGCCGCACTTTCAACAGTCACTTCCACCTCCAAACCGTCAGTCATTATTTCGTTTTTCCAGTCCATCTGTAGAGCGAAACTTAATTTTTCTTCCATACGTAAGTCATATTCACCCCCTTTCTTTAATAGTATCTCTATGATTATGTTTGGTGGTGGTTTAACTTCTGAAAAACATTTTAAATATACATGTTCTTCAAAATTTACGAGATAACCATTTTTAGGAATTAGACATTTCTGAGGACTAAATTAAGTCCAAAGAGACTCTCCCCATTTTAAATTTGATTCTCAGACATCGACCATTCTTAGAAAATTACCAAGAAATCTAACCCTTTGTAACCTTTATGGTAATAAAATAAACTAACGTTAGATACCTTTAATATTGACTTCCTGTGCTAAAACTACCAATCAATTAAAACAGTGCCACTTGATTGGAATGATACTTTTTTTTTCTTTTTACAAATAATTAACCTGTTGTTGAGACGTCGATTTTAAACTTAAACCTTTTGGCTCGGTTGAGCTGTAAATGAATTTGCGTGACTAGGTTGGTATTATCTTCCCTTTTTATAGAATTTTTTGCTCTAAGCCGAATCCTTTCTCAGACTAATTAGTTGTCATTATCTTGGCATGACTTTTGCATCATCCTCGTTTGAATTGACAAGCGACTTTAAATTAAGAAAAAATATATTACCTTTACATGGCATTTAAGCATGCAACTATACCATAAAAGGAAAAGAGCATTTTTTAAGCGTACCCATTTCACTCGAATAGTCACCGGTCAAGAAATACCTGTCCAGATAAAAATGACAAGTACTGTTGCTAGCAGTGAATTCTTCGTAACATTTTCCTGAAAGAAGAAAAAACGGCAAAAGTAAACACAAAGAAAAATAACTTCTTTTTCTTCGTAAATCTTTAGGAAAATCTAAACATTTCAAAGATACAAAGGATTATTTTGAGATGTGGAACAAAAAAGTTTACCTTGTTCCTTGTATGCTTTCCATACAATATTTATATCTATGACAATATCTTCAGAAATTTTGGACCCCAGACAGCAAGGTCCCGCTTGTGTCAATTTCCGCTGCATGCCTTGGTCTCTAAACACCCTCAGAATAGCATCTTCCCATGCGCTTAAATCATGTAGTACCGCTAGCCAGGTTGTTCTGGCAGAAATCTCTTGCAGGAACAATGATCGTTTTTGGACTGTCATTTTAAGGTTGTCCATACCCTGCAGAAATAGTTTCTGTTTATTGGGATTATGAAGTTCTTTCATTGTGTTAACTTCCAGCTGAGGACAACGAATTTCTCCTCTGTAAATTCTGAAGAATACTTCTGCCATTAAAGACCCATCTATGAAAAATCAATGAAACACAAGTTTATTCAATCTGAGTTGAAGTAATATGAGGGGTCAAATTAAAGACACAATGAAATTGAAAACTTGCCGAACAGCTTGTTACATTTTAGTGTTTTGCATTGTTTGAACTATCTTGGTCAGATTTGAAAGTTAGTTTCATTTCATTTAATTCTCTTTTAACTTATTTAAAAATGAATTAAAAGATATTGTAATTGTTGAGTTCTTTAGAATTCACCTGACAGACGGAATAATTTTATCCTAAAAACTCTGGTCACAGTATATGACTTACCAACTTGTAAAATATTTGCAAGATTTTCTTGAACAAAGTTCCTCAAATTAAAACAGAAATTATCGTGGAATTCGTGGAATCTTGGAAGTTTCTTTGAGATGTTTTCTGAAGCAATAAGAAGCGTTTTATTTCGATGCACTCTGGAATATTTTTCTTAAAAAGAATCTGTGCTTCTTGTCAATTTATTCCACAAAAGTACTATAAATCACTTTAAATGTTCAATAGGGAAAATTATTGGCATGACCGATTTTTCAAATAAGTCAATCACACCCATAGGCGAACTCGAACTATGGGCAGAGAAATGAATTCATAAATTCATTTAATTAAACAATAGGCAGCATTTTTATTTAACACTTTCAACTAAATGAAATTTATAGAAGAACATTTATCGACTGATCAACCAGATTGTAGTTTTGTCGGTACGTTACCCAGATCCCGATTATCGTCGCAGTCTGTGGTCAGTGCACCCATTATAGTCTTCACCATCACCAGTTCTTTGTCGCTTCCCTTTTGCTGCCTGAGTTTGAATGCTATTTTGGCGAGCTCTTTCTTTAGCAGAGCTGGTTGAAGTCCAGGTTCCAGCTTCATGCCAATTTTTCCATTTTCTTCTGTTAGTGACTTCAGTCTTTCGAGAACTTTACTTGTATGTTTTGAATTAATTTTCCCGACCTTTGGAATTTGAACATAACTGATTAATAAAAGAAAATAACGTATCTTTAGAAGAAACATGTATTTGAGAAGGTAATAAATCTAGATATTCTTTACCTGTACCTTTAAAATTGATTTCAATTCAGAAAGACACTTGTTGATGCCCATTTCGCTGAAGCACCATGTCTGCAGTGAAGTGACGTAGTGGTCAAGAATTTCTTGAGTCACAGGCATGCCTTTCACGTATCTAGCAAGATCTTTGAGTTTATTTTCCACATCATTACTCACCCAATGCCCTAGATCTACTAGTATTTGCAGAACATTTTCATATTCATGTTCAAATTTTGTGTCTGGAATGCCTTCGTCAACATGCTGGAACAAATAATTCCGTTTTTTCCTTAGCTGCTGAATATCCTGCAGTAACTCGCCCGTAAAATTGCACGTGTAGAGGACTAGGATGGACAAAGTTGTGATGTCAAAGTTTTTCGAGGTCACTGTATCTTTGTTTAATGGGTAAATGGTATGCCACTGTTCGACAGTCATTTGTTTGGCTTCATAATGTCGGAGCAAAATTTGATACCGTTCAGCGTTATATAGATAGTTCTCCAGGTTCCCATGATTCACCTCTGAAACTTTCTTGTCCAAAAGATTCCGATAAACAATTTGACCTCCCTCCATAACCAAGTAAATCTCTTTCCCAACGTTTTCCTCAAAGGGGTGAACTTTAGAGGAATTAGGCAACTTAGGACTTTTTTTAATGACCTTTTCTTCCATTATTCAGATACGCATAATTTAAAACAATCAAACGCTCTAATCTGAAATCATAACTTCACTGATAAATAAAATAAAACAATGTTATATCGTGACGATAAAATAGTTATTTATATGAAAGCTTACCAAGTTAAAGTTCTTGCACCAATTAACACAATATACACTTAGAAAGTCATTCTACAATACACTTTAAGGACTACACGAATGAGTAGATATTTAAAGAGAGGGGTAAATTGAAACAATAGATCAGTATTCTAGACTTTTTCATTTAAATCAATGACATTTTAATTTTCGTATCAATGAATGACTCTTAGATATACATGTAAACCTGTGAAAATCCGAATCACGTGACACAGTTTCCTACACTGGTAATCTGTCCACGTAGGAAATTACTAAGTATCTGGTACTTAAGTGGGGGTCCTTTTTTTCGTCCGTCCTATGCCGAAAAAGCACGACCCTGTCTACAAAAACGTTTTACGTGCTTATTTCTTACCAACATTCATTTTTTTTTTCAGAATGTCGTAAAAATTATGTCCTTTACCATTTGCAAAAATGTTTATTACGGAAACAAGTGTCAGAAGTTGGTTCCACTGCCAATCAGCAACTGGAACTCTATTTTGTCCAGTTATATATATTTCAACAGTACGTATAATTCAGATATGCAAAATGGTTTGAAAATAATGACACCAAAATTACCAAGTTAGGTGTACATTCAAATATTGGAGAAAAATTCAAAAATGTTCTATAAAACACATTACCAGGTATTTTTTCGGCGAATTCTGGCGGCGGATCTTGGAATAAGAGAGAGTAAAAATAAAAAAAACTTAATATTTTTAATAAAATTAAGGAATACTTCCAGAAACAATCTCACAATACAGAACAATCGAGGCTTAGTCATTCGCTCAATGAAAAGCTGGATATATGTATTAATTAAGAATGAGAATTACTGCCTGTATAGCATCTCCAAAGTCGGCAGCAATTACTTGATTGTATTCAATTCAATATGGGGTGGAAACAGACATGGGTTTATAGAAAAACAGAAACTCAATTATCAGCAGTCTTACAGAAAATTCATTGGTTTTCTACAATATTACAACCATGATGACTCACCTGAAATCGAAACAAGGAAGGATCTTAAATCCTCGTACAGAATCAGGGTTATGAAGAGATGATGACCCCGAGATTCCTGATTATCCCCAGCAATGTCCTTCTTCGTGGAATATTGAAGTGATTTTATTGCGTTTTCTTGCCATTGAACCCAGTTCAGTTGTTTAAAATAGTCGATAGATGTAAAATAATAGCAGAGTTCTATAGTTCCACATACATGTAGTATCATTGCCATTTGGCTTATATTAATCAAATACAGATCTTTCTATTAAGATCTGATAAGCCTTTAAATTTTCCCCTTCTTCTTTTCGAACACTCCTTTTAGGCCTCTGACAGGCAAAAAACCCTTCTTCGCTAAATTCCCAAAAAGGGGTTTGGGGAGATTAATGCTAATTTTCCCATCAAAAAGTGACAGGCTTTCAGACTGCTCCATGTTCTCTTCGAACACTGCTAAATGTTTGTGATAAAAATAAACATTCCTTTGATACATGGTCCTCCCCACACTAGTGCAGAGGTTTTTTTTGTTTGTTTTTTTTAAAACCTTTTGCTTCAGTTTAATTTATTGGTGTCCATGGGCAACGATATAGAAATTTCGACTGGATACTTTTTTTTTTTAAAATAAATATTGAAAAGAGAGAAAATTCAGACGTTTTCGCCAATACAAACCAATAGTTTTCATGAATAGCCATACGCTTATTTCATAAACTTTCTGTTGATGTCCAAAATACAGAAAGCCTATTCAGCAATGTACAAGTATAGGATTGTTAAATCTAATGATATTTCTGAAACATCGAATATTTCTCCGACTACTTTCTAATGTGTGATACAAATTTAAAAAAAAAAAAAAAAAAGGAAAGGAAGAGAGTTTGTAGGTCATTAATTTAACATTCACAGATCAAATAATTCTCAGATATTTGCCTAAAAAGAAAAACAGTAAGTGCAGAAAAATGAAGATTCATTGATGTCCCGGACAGTTCTTTCCCTCGGACGAATTTCTTTCCATTCTTCAATATTTTGTCCCACGTGAATCAACATTTATGGAATATTAGTGGAATACTCGGCGCACTTTGCAATTCTTTGATGATCAAGTTCTACAACAGATTTTCTTCTTTTTTTCAGAAGCGCTCAACCATATGTACACAAAGAACAAGAGTTTTGATTAGTTTGAATGGCATTCACCAGCGAATCATGTTCATCATTACGCATAACAAAATTATAAAAAATTAATTATCAAAAAGAATAAGACTAGTGTAACCAATCAAAACTCTTCTTTTTCAATCTGGTAATACTCGGATTGACCAGTACTTGCTAATTTAAGATCTTTTTCTTTACATTTGGACAACCCCACGTTTTAAAAAGAAACATTGCAATGAATGTAGTTTTGTAGAAAATATTATAACAAATGTAGCCCTTGCATTCGGTCAATCAATCGAGATATGAACTTGACAGAAAAAATTATCGAACTCGCACTTTGTGCTCGGTCAATATTCTTTTCTGTCAAGACGATATATCTCCAGATGATGTTAAGAAAGGACTATATGGATGAAATACCTGGTATAGAAATTATGAAATAAGAATTTTCAGACAAAATTTAATAAAGCAACAGTGGTTTTTCCTCATAGTGAAATGGTCTGTAATTTTGCATCATTTAAATTAAAAGATATGGTTGAAGTGTTTGTACATTATCTAGACACATAACTTTCCGAAAGAAAAATGAACATCATATTAGGCTTTACAATAGCATGTTGATTAACAAAAATTACATGAATATATAATTTCACACGAGGGATTTTTAAAAAGAATGAAAATTGCTTTCAATTACATACGAGCTTTAAAAATTGAAAATTGCTTTCGAAAGGAGAAAATTTGCTTTTGATTATATGTACTTAGAATTGACAGCTATGATTGTTAGTTACCAAACTGTATTTCTTTTTCTTTCGTCATAAAACCAGACTCAGGGGTATTAAAGTTTGTCATATATCAGTTACATTAACTTTGGACAAGAGAAAAGCCTTTGCATATGCACTAATTTATTTTAAATAATGCAAAATGACTGACCGTATAAATATTCAATTCACAATTTTTCACACATTCCAGTTACAAATGCTAAGTTGTTTCCATATTAAACATCCCATATATCAAACTAATAAACTAAAAAAAACCAGTCATTTTGTCGGACAACATGGACACATTCATAAGCACTCCTTTGGTTTTAGAATTATCTGTAAATAAATAAATCAGCCGGATACATGTATACTTTTTAACTTCAAAACAATATATTAAGCTGCAATGACATGTCAGCCTTAAATAAAACAAATATATCATGGCACACAATTATGTCTACAATAGATAAATTAGGTCAAGATTGACAGAATTGTGCTATGTACATGACAGAATGCATATACTCAAGATGTGATTTGTCAAAAACATACCGACAGGCAACACTGCTTTACATTTTTTTTTAAAGAAAAAAAAAACATTAAAAATCTATGTTAACATCAATAGAGAGCAATTCCTCTAATTTTCATTCAAATATCACTCATAATTACTCATAAAGAATAAAAACAAATGCCTTCAATAACCATACCGATATAACAAAACAGTTTTTGAAATAAGACAAAACACATTTTATATGCACCATTCCCTCTCAGTAATCTGCATACAGTTTCAGACAGCCTCTACATCAGTGTTTGTGGTGTGTCCCCTTTGCTTTGTCTGTTTTGGAGCTCTTCGGTACATGTGATGACGTTTGGTGATGTCTGACGTCATCGCCGTGCCTGAAATTAGCCCTCCTCCTTCCTAGATCTGTGTGATCAGTCCCTCGACTGCCTGCACCGTGTGTATGGGCCGTGTGGGAGGGGCCCGACTTCTTAGAGGTGCTATGGGGAACAGAACTAGAGGCAGCTTTCGGTTGATCTTTGTGGTTATGGTGCTTCCTAGCATAATAGGTTTTATGTACCTCAGTCATTGGAGAGTGAAGAGAGTTGTCGGTTAATCCACCTATATTGTCATACCACGACATTGTGTCTTGATTATCATCACTCTCACAATTATCGTAAGTAGAAAACTCGTCTACATCGCGAGGTTTACCTTGTCTCGGCATCCCATTGAACTGACCTTGACCTTCATTCGCCCCTGACCCTGATGGTACATCTGCACCATAATCAGCTGATACTTTGACTGAGAAGTTTTTATCTTCTTTCTTTTTCTTACTCTCCTGTTCTTTCTTTTTATTGTTGTTCGTGTCTTCTTTAGAGAGTTCCGATTTACTGAGTTCTAGTGCTATATTTAGCATCTCTTCCTCCTCCTTCTCACTCAAAGGTATATCAGGTCTGTACTTCTCAAAATAGTCCGAGTCTCTTCTGTGTTCTACAAAGATAAGCTTAGAATATCAAAACATTGAAAGTCCTACAATAAGAAATATGAACCGTTAGATTTATCATTTTAAAACATAAACACGTACTATTTCAAGAATAACAAAAGGAAGGTAATGCAATGATTAGTATACAAATATAATGGCAAATTATTTTTTATTTTTCATGCTTTCTGTTCACATGATATGCAAAAAAGATTATTCTTTTTTCATATACCGGTACATCATAAAGATGTAAATGTAACAACAGGAGGCAAATACCATTACACTGGGTACAAGTCAAATAAAAAAAACAAATGTTTCATTAGCTTTCTGGATCTTTGCATGCCAATGATTTAAATGGGCCATTCACAAAAAATGCTTGTGGAAAAAAATAATTAAAGATCAATGTTTTAAACTAAAAATAAAAAAGGGTTGTAATTAAAACTAAAATTACTAAAGGTGACACTAAAAGGTGACCTTCAATCCTAAGTAATTCCCCAAAATAATGTTTGAAGATCTTTGTAAACGACAGACTCTTTCTAAATTTTCTTTTCCCAGGTCCTTTAGATTTCTTACTGTCAGCTGAAGAATTTGATATAGACATTGTCATTTGTCTGATGTTGCATCACTATCCAGCCAAGTTAACACTTACATGTATTCCCCTGTTTGTTATATACAAATATTTATTTGTAAACCGATTTCCTTAACACGACTTCTCTGTTTAAAATCTAATTTATATTAACCTTAATGTCATAATTTGAATTGATGATAGTCCTAGTGAAACAGTCAGTTACCAGTTAGATAAGAAGACTAGTAGCTGTCCATTAATTGAGCAAAGTAGGGCACTGTGATCAGCTAATTATGCCTCAATTGTTTTTAGGCTTATATAATGCACAAAAATTTCTCAAATTTCTGAACATAAAAAAAGTTTACAAAGCATTTTAGATAGTAAACTTGACAAGAGGCCCAGGGGCCACAGCGCTCACCTGAGCACATAAGTTAGGCACAGATCAGATCAGAACTGAAGTTTACTGAGGTGGTGGTGGTGGTGGGGGGGGGGGGGGGACTTGAATTTTAACCCCCCAGGGGATCATGATTTGAACAAACTAGAATCAACACTACCTGAGGATGATTCCATGTAAATATCACTAATAATGGCTTTGAAGTACTTGAAAAGAAGATTTTAAAGGTTTCCCTATCTTTTCCTTTGTAAAACTTTGATCGGCCATTTTGGCCCAATCCTACCCCCGGGGGTCATGATTTGAACAAACTTGAATCCACACTACCTGAGGATGATTCCACATGAGTTTCATCTTTCCTGGCTCAGTGGTTCTTGAGAAGAAGATTTTTAAAGATGTTTCCTATATATTCCTACGTAAAACTTTGATCGGCCATTTTGGCCCCACCCTACCCCCGGGGGTCATGATTTGAACAAACTTGAATCTACACTACCTGAGGATGATTCCATATGAGTTTCATCTTTCCTGGCTCAGTGGTTCTTGAGAAGAAGATTTTTAAAGCTGTTTCCTATACATTCCTATGTAAAACTTTGATCTGCATTTTGGCCCCATCCTACCCCTGGGTTCATGATTTGGACAAACTAGAATCTACACTACCTAAGGATGATTCCACATGAGTTTCATCTTTCCTGGCCCAGTGGTTCTGGAGAAGAAGATTTTTAAAGATTTTTCCTATATACTCCTTTGTAAAACTTTGATCGGCCATTTTGGCCCCATCCTAACCCGGGGGGTCATGATTTGAACAAACTTGAATCCACACTACCTGAGGATGATTCCATATGAGTTTCATCTTTCCTGGCTCAGTGGTTCTTGAGAAGAAGATTTTTAAAGATGTTTCCTATATGTTCCTATGTAAAACTTTGATCGGCCATTTTGGCCCCACCCTACCCCCGGGGGTCATGATTTGAACAAACTTGAATCTACACTACCTGAGGATGATTCCATATGAGTTTTATCTTTCCTGGCTCAGTGGTTCTTGAGAAGAAGATTTTAAAAGATTTTTCCTATATGTTCCTACGTAAAACTTTGATCGGCCATTTTGGCCCCACCCTACCCCCGGGGGTCATGATTTGAACAAACTTGAATCTACACTACCTGAGGATGATTCCATATGAGTTTTATCTTTCCTGGCACAGTGGTTCTTGAGAAGAAGATTTTTAAAGATTTTTCCTATACAGTGGACCTTCAGATATCCGGACGCCAGATATCCGGACGCTTCACCTTCCGGACGATTTTTCTCGGGAACGGATTTTTTTAACGTAATTTTGACTCATTTATCCGGAATTCCGCGTTCCGTATCCGGACGGCTCTTTTTTACTACAAAATGTATTTTTACGTTATAATTTGGTTCATTTATCCGGACGGTAAATTTTAATTTGTACTTCCACTCTTGTCAACATTCATGCCTGAACTGAGTGATAATTGTTATCAAAACACTGGCCGGATTGATTGTTTTTACAAGACGATCACCTGTGACCTGTTATGAATGACTTACGATGATTATAGTCCACAGATTAAGCATGCTAAGTGGATATGGTCATAATATACGAGAGATCGATACACAAATGAAAATAAACAATTAACTGTGTCGGTAACAGAAAACAATTTTCTATTCAGTTATTTGTTATCTGCGAGATATTTATAATTTTAGTACAGAGCTGGTTTTAAATATTTTTCTATTTATAGACGGGACGACATAGATTCATAATCTCGTTGTCTACACATGTGCACATTGTGTAATTTTCATCTGTAGATTGGTGGCAGTTATCATCGAAAAAAAAACCTAAAACATTCAATCAAATTTAAATAATTTTAGACAATCAATGATTTCGCTTGGGAAGATTACTGCGTGAATTTTTAATATGTCAGATTTAGCGTGCATGAGTAATATTCAAATTAAAATTAGACTCGAACTCGATACTGACAGCTCGCTTGGGTGTAATCAAAGCTGCAAATGAGAGAATTCGCTTGGCTCATCAATTTATAGGAAGTAGAAAGTAAAAATAAGCTGGGTAATTAAAAATCTGCCCATATAAGCAGCGTTATATCCAATCTTTGTCATTCTGCTCTCCAGCTACAACCATGTCTACACCGCCGGCAAAGAGAGCGCGAGTCGGCATTTCAAAAAATCTGCCAACGCAAATTAGATCTTCCACGTTCTTCATTGCAAGATTTAAGGCAGTTTGTTATTGACGAGGAGAAAATTACCATTTTAAAATAATAAACTATTATTTCTATACGATAGTATTTATCTTTCTTTATATATATAAGAGTTACAATACAAATACAGTATACATGGAAGAGAAATCAATAGAATTCAGATATCCGGACGCTTCACTTATCCGGACAATTTGCTTGGGAACCAAAGCGTCCGGATAAATGAGGCTCCACTGTATACTCCTGTGTAAAACATTGATCGGCCATTTTGGCCCCACCCTACCCCCGGGGGTCATGATTTGGACAAATTTGAAATCTACACTACCTGAGGATGATTCCACTTGAGTTTCATCTTTCCTGGCTCAGTGGTTCTTGAGAAGAAGATTTTTTTAAAATGCCATTAAATTTTCTCTAATTCATGATTATCTCCCCCTTGGAAAAGGACGTGGCCCTTCATTTGAACAAATTTGAATCCCCTTTACCCAAGGATACTTTGTAGCAAGTTTGGTTGAAATTGGCCCAGTGGTTCTTGAGAAGAAGATGAAAATGTGAAAAGTTTACAACAACGACAACGACAGACGATGGACAAATTTTGATCAGAAAAGCTCACTTGAGCCTTCCGCTCAGGTGAGCTAAAAAGCCAACTACAGAAATATGTCCTATATATATTATACGAAAATACTAAAGAAATTCAATTATTGTGGATTTCCTAATTATTCATTTTATCAACACTCACCTTCACTAGAATTTCCCATTGGTGTGTCCCTGCTGGGACCAGTGCTTCCTTGAATCTGAAAATATACATTTATATATATGTAACCAGGCTATATCATCATGGGCCAATGGACCACGGCACTCACCTGAGTCATCTGGGCCCTGCTGTTTTCAAAAAGATTTTTTTCCTTTCCACTCCCTTGTAAAATATTAATCCTTTATTAGGTCAAATCCCTGGGGACAATGATTTGACCCAACAAAATTTATTTTATATTGGGTAATATGTATGACCACTTTTTGACCAAATGTTCCTCTGAGGATTTTTATAGATTTTCTCTTTACATGAATACTGTATACAGGGTTATTTTTCACCCAGTGTTATTTTTTTCCCCTTTTACACTTGCTCACAAATTTGCCCCGTTTTAAATTAGCCCAGTCCCTGAGTTCTGTGTAAGAATTTATACTGTGTTCTTTGAATTCGCCCTGTTTTAAATTCGCCCACTTGTGACAAGGGCAAAAGAAGCGAAAATAAAACGGGGGCAAAAATTTCCCTATATCGCTTTTTTTAAATGTTAACCCTCTCTCCTCTAGCAATGATTTCACTTTGCCCCAAGATCAATGTCAATGATCACAAACTTGAAGTTATACTCCAGGAGTGCAGTCATCAAACATTATACACATATTTACTGGCTATGAGGACAATAGCAAGTTTATTGTCCCCAAAGACAGCAACTGTTTCCTGAGGCGCAGCCGAGGGGAATAGTTGCTGTCGAGGGGGATGATAAATTTGCTATTGTCTGAATAGTCAGTAAATAGGTGTTTTATTATAATGATGCCAACTTTAATTGTGTTATGTCACAATGGGGAAAAAAACAGAAGAATACCGAGATGAAAACCGCGGGAAATGGAATGCTGCCTGTGAATAGTTTGATGACTATTTCACCATGGGCAAATAGCACAAAAACTATTCCACGGTAGGACTGTTTAGAAAAAATATCAGGTTTATTTGTTATAACTTTATATAGAGCAAAATCACAGAGGTATAATAAATGAATATGTATAAGACCTCACAACTGACCAGCTGTGATAATCTGAATTTGAATATAGCCACATAGCCATATAATGCCACAGAGTGTCAACATGACCTGGTCATAAATTCAGAAAAAAACATCACAGATAGACAGGCAGACTGATTAGAAATGCCATATCATAATAAATGCCTCTCAAAATGACAGTCATATAGAGAGTATATACATACCACTACATCATCATCATCATCATCAGAAATCTCAATAAAGTCCTCCGTCGGGAATGGTCTACTTCCTCCATTTGTTTGAGGTTCTATAAAGATAGAATTTAAACTAAATCTGCATTCAACAGCTTCAAAGACAGCTCAACTTTACTAACTTTTTATGTATTAGAAAAAAAACACACCATGTATCATGTATTTAAAGCAATGACACCAACACTGGAGGTGACACCAGCATTGTTTGTTGTCTGTATCAGAGTCTCTAGTTTTCCTCCAATTTACCTACTGTTTATTTTCAGGTTAATAATAATAAACATGTAGCTAAATTATTACATCAATCAATTTGCATTGGTTACATTAAACATTCTACACACATCTCCACTCTGATCTTGAGAAATGACACAAAAACTACCAGTGTCCTCTCAAAACTTGTCTTTTTTTTTTAATGCTGTACCTTTAATGCCTAAGAATAAGTCTGCAAAATGCTGTTGGTTAACAACACAATGTTTTCCTTGCCTATAAAAATCTAGGCAACACAATATTCTTCCTTGTCTAAGAACAGGCCTATTTGTGTATATTTATCTAAACCATTTCCTACCTTGTTTGGGGGTGGATCTATGGTTTACATTCACATGGTGGCGTTGAGGTCTGTTCCTCTGAGGCTGGTGGTGGCGAGACCTTGAGGAACGATGGAAATGTCCACCCAGACCTGGCTGCTGAAAGTGGAATAGGTGGTCAAAAGGTGACCTCATACCAAACGAGTCTTCTTCCATAAACGTCGGGAAGTGGTCATCATGGTCAGCAAAGAAGGACGAATGAAATGGACTAGATGTGAAGGAGGAAAACCCGAAACCCGGGCCATTGGAAAACATAAAAGTGGTGTGTCCTCTTCTCTCTGAAAATACATTTTTACAGATGATTTCACCTTTTTTGGCATCCTTGTTTAAGACCTCAAATGGAAATCTTTAGTTTTATCAACTTCCAACCTTTTGACTAAATAAGAAAATATCTTAAATATTATAGGAACGAAAAAATGTTTTTACATCTGTCATTAGTCAAATTAAGTCAAAATAAGCCCAATATAATTATGACTGTTTATGAAATGAAAAGATTCTTTTAAGTACAAATTCTTCATCTTATCATAGACAAAAAATTACTGCTCTATCAAATTCTGGTCTAAAAGGAAAAATTGTGATCATATTTATGAATTGAAAGGGCCAATGCTCTGTTTTAAAATTTCATATTCTCTGCTTTTCCAAATAATTGACCTTTAGTACAGTTCCTTTTATTCTGAATAATAAACAAGAGGCCCACGGGCCTTATAGGTCACCTGAGTATCATGTAACAACTTTCAAACAATTAAAATTGGTTCGTGTTTTACCCCAGAGGCCATGAATTCACAATTCACAATTTTGAAAGAGGCACCATTACTTATCATAAGTATAAACTTAGCATACTTACTCTATTTACTTAATACCCAGAGGTAGATCAGAGTAACAAAGAGAAAATGCACTTCCACTTTATAACCAGTTGTGCACCTCTTCCAAAAGGAACCACTGACCATGGGGCCACATATTTCAAAATTTTGCAAATGTTACCATAAAATGGTTGATTAATACTAAAGAGCAGTAGGGGTGGGACGATATACCGATACATCGATACATATCGATATTTTTCTCTAAGATACGGTTTAAGATACAAGCATTCAAATATCGGTACGTAACGATACACGAACGACCTATCCAAAAATTGAAAATGAAAGTACATGTCCTTGGAAAATGGCAGCTTGTACGAAGCGAAGAGATGATTTTGATTATTGAAAACACACTTTAGAACTAATAAGTCGTTGTTTATGGGTAAAATGTTTTCACTTTTAAACAGCCTCGGAAGATTGGACAAGAAAAGTTCAGTACGTAATGCGTGCTTTACACAGAAAGCATCGTTTCCAGAGCATTTGACATTATTATTTGTTAGTCCATCTCGTATTTTTTTTGTAATCTCAGCTTTGCTACAGACTTTCAGCAATTAATAAAAATGTAAATGTGATGTTTTTAAATAAATTTTAGTCAGTGTTCTCTGCTGAACTACACAACTATTTGTAAACAACTTCTTAAAAGTAATTTGGTAATAATAATATGTACATGTATGTTTGTTTTTGTAAAATTTTAGTGAATGGCATTGATGAACTTCAAGTATTAATTTCAAAGCATACATGATTTGATATAGAATAATTTGTAGATTTAATGTCAAGGCAAAAAATGAAATAAAGTACTAATTCTTTTGAATAGTTTTATAATTTATCATGTTGATTTAATGATAAGACAAGAAATGAAAAAAAATACAAATTTTTTAAAATAGTTTATAATATATCAAAATATCGATATACGTATCGTATCGTGCCAATATATTGAGATACGTATCGTATCGCAAGATCTGTGTATCGTCCCACCCCTAAAGAGCAGATTTCAAAGCATTAATTTATTTTCAGACTATGTACCCCCCCCCCCCCGACCCAGGGGGCATAAAAAATAAAAAAAATTTCCTAGATGCACCTTTCTTCATCATAAATATTTGTATACTTGGATCATTGGCATAAAACCCAGGAGCAAAGGAAAAGATTTTCAAAGAATTAATGCATTTTCACTATATAATCAATAGAGCCCCGCCCTTATACCAGAGCCTCTGACCCTGGGGCCATAAAATTCACAATTTTGGAAGTGGCACTCTTGCTCATCATAACTATGTACTTAGTTTATTCAATGCCCAGAAGCAGAGAAGAAGATTTTCAAAGAATTAATGCATTTTCACTATATGATCAATAGAGCCCTGCCCTAACACCAGAACCCCTGACCCTGGGGTCATAAAATTCAAAATTTTGGATGAGGCACTCTTGCTCAACATAACTATGTACTTAGTTAGTTTACTTAATACCCAAGAGCAGAGAAGAAGATTTTCAAAGAAATAATGCATGTTCACTATATAATCTATATAGCCCCGCCCTAGCACAAGAACCCCTGACCCTGGGGCCATAAAATTCACAATTTTGGAAGTGGCAATCTTGCTCATCATAACTATGTGCTTAGTTAGTTTATTTGATACCCAAAAGCAGAGAAGAAGATTTTCAAAGAATAAATGCATTTTCAGTATATGATCAATAGAGCCCCGCCCTAACACCAGAACCCCTGACCCTGGGGTCATAAAATTCACAATTTTGGAAGAGGCACTCTTGCTCAACATAACTATGTACTTAATTAGTTTACTTAATACCCAAGAGCAGAGAAGAAGATTTTCAAAGAAATAATGCATTTTTACTATATAATCTATATAGCCCCGCCCGAGCACAAGAACCCCTTACCCTGGGGCCATGAATTTCATAATTTTGGTAGAGGACTCAATGGTCATTACATTCATGCCAACAGTTTGCCTGCTTGATGTCCAGGAGTAAAGAAGAAGATTTTTAAAGATTCAGTAATTTTGGTGGTTTTGGCCCCACCCCTCAGGCCCCAGGGGGGTGGGGATCATAAAATTCAAAATTTTTGTTCCCCTTCACCCATAGATGCTGTATACCAAATTTGGTTGAAATTGGTTCAGTGGTTTCAGAGAAGAAGCTGAAAATGTTCAAATGTTAACGGACGACGCACGACGAAAACAGATAGCAACTAGAGGTACTGTGAGCAATGAGCTCACTAAATGATACCCCCCGCCTCCCATATGAATAAAATGGCAGTGTCCATGTTTTGCTCTAGAAAATCCAAAATATATGTCATATCAAAAAGTAAAATAGGAGGTGCACAATGGCAATATGTAATAAAGAATCTGTGAAAGTTTCATCAGATTTCATTGAGTGGTATGAGAGGAGTTGCGGATAAGAGATGGGTACCCCAAAGCGTAACAGACGGACGGACGGACAGCTAGACGGACGGACGGACGGACGGACAGACGTACAGACGGACGGAAATCCCGATTACTATATACCCTCCCACTTTTCAAGCGGGGGGTATAATAAGTCACCTGAGTTACTCAGGTGACCTAAAAAAGGATAACCAATAGATGTCCCATGTTTCTTTCCTATGCAGTTATAAATATCTTATAATTTACTTTACTTTCTTGCAGCACATTACACGTACTACCATTAATTAAATTTATGAGAATCTGGTACTTACGGTTACCACCTCCAATAAGCCAGGGGAAAAGTCTGAATAATATATCCATCTATAATGAGAAAAACAGGTTGTTTTACTGATAAATTTCATTCTAAGACTCTAATGGTAAGGACTAATGCCCTGTTCACACAGAGAGTTTAATTCGAATTAAACGTAAAGTTGCTGCAAATTAGCTTCGCTTAGTGTTCACACAGAGAATTTAATGCGAATTAGTTTAATTCAAATTAGTTTACTGCACATTAAATTACTTTATATTTGCTCTGTGTGAACGCTAAGCGCAGCTAATTCAAATTAAATTCTCACGCATGCGTAATTGCAAAATTTAGTAAAATGCCACTTGTCGGTGGTCAGCTATAGGTACTTGTGCTATTTTTGAGTGAAAAACTAAGGAAAATTTTGTTAATCATTAAAATGTGTATACAGACACTTTGCCATTATGTCAAATGGATCTGCTTCTGCATAAGGTGACATGATTTGCAAATGACATCATACATGTAATAGCCGTGCTGACGCCGGGCTGCAGAAGTAAAATTTTAATTCGCATTAGTTTACTTCGCATTAGCTGTCATGTGAACGCAATTTAATTCGCATTAGTTTGATTCGCATTAGTTTACCTCACATCAATTAATTTACTGCGAATTAAACTCTCTGTGTGAACAGGGTATAAAAAACCTACAGCAGAACGGTCTTGTGTAAATGTCATTTAAAAATTTCCAAAACGGATTCACTTAAAGAGAGCATAAAGTGAATACTGACAAACTTTCTCATCAACAATTTTATTTTAAAAATATCTCTTATTTTAAAAGTCCATTTTCTCTAACAGGTTGCTGTTATATTATTGTGATGTCATTTAAACTCAATTTTATAACTGTGTATCAGTTGCATTTCTGTGGTATTATCATTATTATGTTGTATAACTGTACATTTTCTCGTGTAGTTTATAGGAAGTTTCATCCACAAAAAACAAAATTCAAAATATCTGGACCCAAATAAGAATAACCAAAGAAACACCAGCTTTTTTCTTTAAAAGGAAGGGTCTTGATTTTCATCTTGAACATTGAAAGTTAAAAAAAAAAAGTTTTAACTGTTATATTTACCCTGTAAATAAATCACCTTGATAACACAGGTAAACAAACTCACCGTGGCAGTGTCATCGAAAGCTCCAACATCCGAAGAATCATCATGCAAACCAACTGCCTCAGGTCCTGTGGATAAACAGAAAAATAACATAACAAGAGGCCCATGGGCCACATCGCTCACCTGAGAAGCTTTGACCATTCTGTTCTTTACCAGATTTCACCCTTGTTAAAATTTTAATTCACTGATCATAATTTAGACATTTTGTTGGCACAAATGTTTAAGCTTTTTTGGCCCAGTGGTTCCTGAGAAGAAGATTTTCAAAGATTTTTCCTATATATTTCTATATAAAACTTTGATTCCCCTATAATGGTTTACTTCAGAATGCTTCCACATAAGCTTCACTTTTTCTGGCCCAGTGGTTCTTGAGAAGAAGATTTTCAAAGATTTTTCCTATATATTTCTATATAAAACTTTGAGAATTGTCTTGTGTCATTATTTGAACAATTTAGAAAATATACCAGGATGCTTCCACATAAGTTTCAGCTTTTCTGGCCCAAAGAGAAGAAGATTTTCAAAGATTTTTCCTATATATTTCTATGTAAAACTTTGACTTTCTCATCATGATTTGAACAATTTTACACTATACCAGGATGCTTCCACATAAGTTTCTTTTCTGGCCCAGTGGTTTTAAGAAGATTTTCAAAGATTTTTCCTATATATTTCTATATAAAACTTTGATTCCCCATTGTGGCCCCACCCATCCCCCGGGGGTCATTATTTAAACAATTTAGAAATACATTACATGTATACCAGGATGCTTCCACATAAGTTTCAGCATTTCTGGCCCATGAGAAGAAGATTTTCAAAGATTTTTCCTATATATTTCTATGTAAAACTTTATTATTGTACATTTTCCGTGGGTTATGATTTGAACAATTTAGAATCTACAAAATACAAATGCTTCCATATAAGTTTCAGCTTTTCTGGCCCAGTGGTTCTTGAGAAGAAGATTTTCAAAGATTTTTCCTATATATTTCTATATAAAACTTTGATTCCCCATTGTGGTCTTGCCCTTCCCCTGGGGGTCATGATTTGAACAATTTGAAAGTTAAAAAAAAAAGTTTTACTGCCCAGTGGTTCTTACCCCACCCTATTTTTGTCTTTTCTTGATTATCTCCCTTGCGAGGGGATAAATCTCCCCTTGATTCATTTTAACAATTTAAATTCCCCTTTACCCAAACTCGTACCAAGTTTGGTCAAAATTGGCCCTGTGGTCATTGAGAAGAAGTCGAAAATGTGAAAAGTTTCATGCAAACCAACTGCCTCAGGTCCTGTGGATAAACAGAAAAATAACATAAAAAGCACATTTTCAAAGGTAAAAAAAATGTGACAACTGGAATCCACACTCTTTTTTATAAGGATTTAATTACACTGGTACCTTCTGTAAGGTACTTGTAGGCATATCCAATTTCCTGGAACTTCTCTTTTGCATCTTCACTTTGGTTCTATGAGTAAAGTGTACTTCATTGTTATTTCATTAAAAAAAAGAATGTACCCAACAAAATAATGACAGATGATTAAAAAATATATAATCCTCCAAAAATTATAATTACATATATAATACAATAATATCAAAGTACTACAAAAAGATAGTGAATGAAATATCCTTGAAATAGAAAATAAAAAAAAAATCACCTTATCAGGATGGTACTGTAGAGCCAATTTTCTATAACTTTTCTTTATTTGTTCTGCAACGAAAATGATATGAAATAAAGTTGAACATTACTTCAATAAAACTCTGTATACAAACAATAATATTTTTTATTTAGAGAAATGTTTTGGTCTACACTACCATCAGTGGCTTCTTCGGTCAGCTCCAGTACCTCCAGGCACCGCTTCCTCTCTCTGGCGGGGTTCCTCCTCTGAGCCATTGGTGGTGAGTATTACTCAGCTTCAGAAATTCTACAATATATTTATAAAATATGGCATTATTTCTTTGTGTTTTGGCATTAAATATGTCTAATTCTTAATAGAGCCATTGGTGTCACATATCCTGATTTGGTCTTGTTTCACCATTTTGATGTAACAGATGTGGCATAAGCTTTATTTTATCTGAACAAATTTTATCTTTTCATTTTATTTCAACTTTTATCTGAACAAATTTAATTTAGGTTACTTAATGATTGGATCATTATTTGATCAATACTAGTGTGATTTTGGTGTTCTAGACCATAACATGAATATGTACATGTATATATATACTTTCAAGTGGCAATGAGTATAAATTGGTCCCTACCTTGAAGGTTTTTTATATTAATGAACAACCCTTGATAGAATAATGATTAAAGCTTGCATGTTTTTCTACTTTCTGAGTTACATATAGAATATTAAGTTATATAGTACTGTAGCTTCTAATTTAGTATTGTATTCAGGTAAAATAAAGAACATTATATATCTCAACGTAATGCCCTAGTTACAGTTTCAAAGAAAATCAGAGAAAAGTAATTGTTTATATATCTTTCATTATTTCAGGGGCGTCGGCAAAGGGGCAAGCTTGGTTTGGATCAGTTGTTAATTGAAACAAAGAATAGTGAGATTGTTTTTCTTTTTAAAATGATTTTTTTAAACGGCGAAATCTCTCATTGGAGCATCGAGTATAACGGCATTCTGCATGTTCTGTGGTCAATGGAGCGGCAAAGTGTGTACAAGCTATTGTTTACACAGACGTCAAAACGGGATATACATGCATGTCTATATACCTGTACCTGGCGTGTGTACACAATTAACAGGGTAGTCATTAGGATTGCTGTAAGTGCGGGTTTGCTACAAATTGTTCATTGTCCAATTAATTGGTCGATCGATGTTTGGAAGGTTTGATGATTCAACATGATTGCAAGTCATTAAACAATTATCGAAAATATTACAACGTATGAGTATATGTTATATATAAATTTTTAAAATAAAAAAAAAATCATTTAAAACAACTTGAAATTTACACAAATTATCCTACATTTCAATTTCAAAAAGTTAAAAGTATTAATCAACTTATTAAATTTCCTAAGCGTTCTTAGCAACCTACCTCATAAAATCTGAACCCGAACTAAAATGGTTTAAACAATACGCATGGTTACATTATGACGAGGGTGTACATTAAAAGATATATATGTGTGACATAACTGATTTTTGAAAGGATACAAATTTTAATATAGATTGTGTTTATCATTGGTTAATTTATTACATTTGTGAAAAAACATTTTTTTTAAAAAAAATAATATACTGAAATGTAAAAATGTTTTACTTTTAAATTATATAAAACTATTAGCTTCGAAAATATTTTCCAGTATTGTTATCAAACATTTTAATCATTATATTAAAACAAAATCTTGTGTGACTTTAGGTATATATTGAAATTGATATGCCAAAATTAAAATAAAATTCTCATAATCTCCCTTGCAAATTGGTAACAGCATTAGGGCTGTGCATTGAGTTCACCAGAGATTTTGTATTTGATTATTTTTAACTGTATTGCTTAATGGTTATTGCAATATTTTCAAAGTAATTTCGCCAAATGGCATTTTATTACTATATTTACTCCAGCTGGTTTGGTACATGTGAATGTACATAACTGTGATACAGTAGTGTGAACATGCTAAAAACATTACGCACACGACGTGTACATGTACGTGCGCGCGTGAGAGTAAAATCGACGTAAAAGTTGCCAAGCTCACAAAACAACTTCTGTCTTAATGTTTGGCTTAAAATATTGGTATGAAAGTTTGCTTTATAAATAACTTTTGTGATTTAATGACAACAATTGAGGTGACATCTGAAAAGCATATTGCCAATATATCCATATTACAAAATCCTATTGTGAAGCCTGATAATTTTACTCTCTGTATTGCAATAAATTGAAAAGTTTAAAACAAACTGCACAGCAACATCTTGTTACATTTTCATTGTTTACGCCAATTCAATTTGGGAAAGCATGTGAACTCCATGAAGATTGAAATTTATACTGATTTCAAATGCGGAAAACGATGTCTATAACTCCAATGCATCCATAGCGCACAAAATGTTTAAAATTGTCACATTAAAATTAAAAACGTGACGCCATACATTTCATGGTTGCATATATAAATTTTATGCACTAATCAAAATACACATTTTAAATTTTCATAATTTTCGGCCTTATAGCAAATATATTTCGCTATTATGCTAATCGCTGTCAATATATTGAAATTAAAACACAGTGTATCGCCATCTAGAGGACGTTCTTCAGGAGTGCAGCATGCTGCATACAAAGAAAATGGACTTTGTCTTAAAGTTCTATGGAGAAAGGGCAGACCTCTCTTTCTTCACAGCTGGATGCATTTACAATCGCACGAAACAAAACATGAATTCAAGTAAATTGGTAGAAAATTTTTGGTGACCTTAGAAGTATAATATGCTGACAGATGTCTATAGGGATTGAACTCTGACCGCATTTTACTGATGATGTACCTGCAGTTTTCTGCGTCGAGTAAAGAATCTTCGTGCCACTATGTCCCAGAAAATTTAACATGAATTGCACAGGCACAGGGAGGCTACAGATGCGTTAAACAGGCTTTAAATCATTTCAAAGATGTCAAACATCAGAGACAAAAAATAAAGAATTGAAATTAAAATGGCTGTGTTTATTTATTTCCTGACACTTGTGAATTTAAATATACAAAAATATAAATTTTGTATCTTTTAATGTCGTCATTCAATAATTTGACAATTTCAATTAAGTAAAGTCAACTGAAATTCTAACAGCAATTAATCAATTATAGTTTGTAACTAGGAAATGTCCCATTAAAAATCAATATTTGGTAGAAATTTGAATTTTTAAAAACACATTGACACTTTTGACTTGGAGTGTGCCATTGTCACATTTACTCCCTAGCTTATCCCAATCACTGTGATACATTGAACAAAAATGTCAAACTATTTGATGAGTAACAATAGACACATCACTTTAACTTGTCTTGTTAATTTTAACCTCATAACATTAAAAGAGGTCATCTACTTACGAGAAAAATGCGTCAGTCAAAACCCATTTCACTGGTCACCTCTCATTTCTGACAGTTGCCTACAGACATGACGGAATGTCCATTTCCACCTGTAAACTAGACCAAAGAGGAAATTATAAATTAAAAGGTTCGCGTAATCTTATTAAAAGGAGTAAAACATTGTAATTGTACTTAATTATAATTATGACGCTGATTATTTGTAAAATAGATCAAAAAGACCATTCTAGAATGAATATTACGTATTGTCAGTCTTGAAAAATCCCTGAGGCCTTATACCATAAAAGCGAAAGTATAAATAGCGCATGCGTAAATTTATGCATCGTCTAGTTCCCACCGGATCCAGGTGTGGATCTTTAGTGGCGTATTTAACAAGAGGCCCTTGGGCCATATCGCTCACCTGGGCATTGTGGCTAGGAAAAAGTAGAAATTGGTTTATTATTGAATAGTTTAAATCAAGAAGTAGTCCCACGACTAATCATGGCTTTGCTATTCTTGAGATGATGATTTTAAAAGAATTTTCCTATATATTTCTATGTAAAATTTTGATCGGCCATTGTGGCCTCGCCCTACCCCAGGGAGGTCATGATTTGTACAAATTTAAATCTACACTACCTGAGGATGCTTCCATATAAATATGATCAGTCATGGCTTTGCTATCCTTGAGAAGATTTTTAAAGAATTTTCCTATATATTTCCATGTAAAACTTTTATTGATCGGCCATTGTGGCCCCAACCTACCCCCGAGGGTCATGATTTGACCAAACTTGGATCTACACTACCTCAGGATGCTTCCCTTAAGTTTCATCTTTCCTGGCGCATTGGTTCTTGAGAAGAAGATTTTTAAAGAATTTTCCTATATATATATTTCTGTGTACAACTTTGATCTGCCATTGCCCCGCTCTACCCCCAGGGGTCATGGTTTGAACAAATTAAAATCTACACTACCTGAGGATGATTCCACATGAGTTTCATCTTTCCTGGCCCAGTGGTTCTTGGAAGAAGATTTTTAAAGAATTTCCTTATATTTTTAAAAAAGCCATTAATTTTTCACTAATTCAAGTAGATAAAAGTTAATGTAAAAAGTCCCAAATTGGAAATTTCAAAAAAGAGTTGGTCTAGGTAGTGGCCCTTCTATAATTGCCAACAAACTTGAATCCCTTAATTTAAGGATACTTTGTAGCAAGTTTGGTTGAAATTGGTTCAGCGGTTCTTGAGAAGAAGACGAAAATGTGAAAAGTTTCCAACAACGCCAACGACAACAACGATGACGACAGACAATAACAAATTTTGTATTAAAATCAAAATAAGAAAATCTCACATAAATGAGCATTAAATTAAAAAGCTCAAAGTGTGAGCTAAAAAAGAATTAATTCACATAGGCCTAACGTTATTCAAACTCGAGGTAATCGTTGCCCGAGGCAATCCTTACGTCGCGGGTTCGAATCCCACTCACAGGTACTTGGGTCTTGTTTTATAAATATGTATGATATACCTTATTGATAAAGGTAACTTTTTTACATATCAATAAAGATATCTTATACATATATATTTATAAACCAAGACCTAAGTACCTGTGAACCCACTGTGGAACGTAGATGCTTCGGATGAGACCGTATTAAACCGAAGTCCCATGTCGCAGTAGGTGATGGCACGAAAAAGATCCCTCCTTGCTCAATGGCCCTAAAGTGCCGAGCGGAGTGCCGTAAGTGCCGAGTATAGGACAAAAAATCGCAGCTCTCTACCTATTCTCGATTGAGAAGTCGATGGCTCGTTTCAATACTCCCCCTCAGGAGGAATATTGAAACGAGCAATCGACTTCTCAATAGAGAATACTCTCTACCGAAAAGTGGTGGCGTCTCCATATGAATGAAACATTCTCGAGAGGGACGTTAAACAATATACAAACAAGCCATCAAACTCGAGATGTGTTCTGGCACAAAACAACGCTGCCAAATCATACATACCTAGGTATCTTTAGCCATGTGTATTAGAAGCTTGCATCTTGTAAAGTATATATCATGCCACATAAAGCAAAAGCGTGCAGATTGAAATTTATGTATTTCAATGAAATTCATTGATTCAATTACTCTCCATATTTTTATATCATTCTTTGAAAATTCATTTAATCAATTTTGTGCTTATCTCTTTAAAATATCTTTTAAGCAATATGCTTAAGAACTTAAGAAAGGTAACGACCAACTTTAAGCATATATACTGAGCATATACTTAAGAGTTGAGAAGAGTTATGCAACACGCTTAGCATTATGCTAAGTAAAATTCCAATCTGCTAAGCAGAAATACAGTACTTTTCAATTATATCCTCAAGGACTTACGAATTTTTATGCATACGAACCCAGCTCCTTACTTCGTGACTTTGGAACAAACGCTCTAAATTCTGCGCCACCCGGGCGACGGAAAGATGTACGAAAACAAGAAATCTGTGAGCCAGTGCTCACTAGTAATACCCCCGCTCTGATGTGAATATACATTATTATGTCAATAAACGTTACGGGTATATGCACAGAAAGATAGGAATTTGACATATTCAAATAAAAATGAATCCCACCATACTACATACCTCAACAAAGTATGTACTAAAATTTCAAGCATCTGTTATGAGTGGTTGCTGAGAAAACTGCGACGAAAATTTGTTATGCATGAAACATGTATGAAACGGACAGACGAACGGACCAACAGGAAGTTGACATCGGATTTGAATAGAAATGAATCCCACCACATGGCATGCCTCAGAGAAGATTGTGTTAAAATTTCAAGCATCTGCGATGAGTAGTTGCTGAGAAAACTGCAACGAAAATTTGTTATGCATGTATGAGATGGACAGACGCACAGAGAAACAGGAAGTTGACATCGGATTTAAACAGAAATAAATCCCATCATATAGCATGTCTCAGAGAAGACTGAGTTAAAATTTCAAGCATCTGCGATGAGTAGTTGCTGAGAAAACTGCAACGAAAATTTGTTATGCATGTATGAGATGGACAGACGCACAGACAAACAGGAAGTTGACATCGGATTTGAACAGAAATAAATCCCACCATATAGCATGTCTCAGAGAAGATTGTGTAAAAATTTCAAGCATCTGCGAAGAGTAGTTGCTGAGAAAACTGCGTCGAAAATTTGTTACGTATGAAACGGAAAACCGCACGGATAAACAGGAAGTTGACATCAGAATTAAACAGAAATTCATCCCATCATATAGGATGTCTCAGAGAAGATTGTGTTAAAATTTCAAGCATCTAAGATGAGTAGTTGCTGAGAAAACTGCGACGAAAATTTGTTACGTATGAAACGGACAACCGCACGGATAAACAGGAAGTTGACATCAGAATTGAACAGAAATTCATCCCAACATATGGCATGCCTCAGAGAAGATTGTCTTAAAATTTCAAGCATTTAAGATGAGTAGTTGCTGAGAAAACTGCGACGAAAATTTGTTACGGACAGACAGACAGCTAGACAGCTAGACGGAAGGACAGACAGACAGACATACACACCAGGGTAAAACTGTATACCCCCCTCTCCTTTGGAGCGGGGGTATAATAACGAACGGCAACCAATCTCAAAAATCCGTGGAACAAAAGGGAATACGCGAACCTCAAAAATCATGAAAGGTGGGGTGATGTGGGATTAATATATTTTGTCGACTGGTCACATCCGCCCGTGTGTCAGGATCGGGCAAAAAAATTAATGGCCAAACAATTTGTATAAAACGTCAGTCAACATTCGACTAAATGATAGATTTCATTGTATTGTCCATAGGGTTTATATGATATGTCGGCTTTAAACGGGGTTGTCGGTCTCCTTGTATCATAAACTAATTTGTCAGTAGTTTGCCTTGTTTCAAAAATTGTTAATGTATAGAACATTTCCTTGCGTGTCGAATCAACTGTGAGACATAAACTCCATATACAGTACTTTTAGTATATTGTTACATTAATGAGGGAGGATACAATAGAAGAAATCTTAGAAAAGATAGTGTTTTCTTAGGTGAAAACTTCCTAATACAGTGTAGATTCAAAATTGTTCAAATCTTTGCCCATTGAGTAGACCGGGCCTCAAAAGTCAGGGGATCAAAATTTTACTTTAAAATTATTTTTAAATTGTTCAAATTCAAGTTGATAAAACAAGAATATCAAAAGCCTCGTTTAAAGTCATCATTTCGTAAGTTCTGTATATGGTCGAAATAAAGACCTTGTCAGCAACAACGTTCATGAGATATCATTACACACTGAATTATCGTTGGATTATTCCGTAAATTTCCGATTACTTAGTATGACAAGGAGCACAAGACAGGTGTATGGCCGGTCGGCATGGAATGCTCACTACTCCATGGCACCTGATCCCACCGCTGATGTTTAGAGGTCCGTGTTTGCTCTGCTTCGAGTTGAATTGTATGAACTTTTTGCTTGAATTCGCTGTCTCCATATATAACACACACATGCAGGAATGCAAAGGACATTAACAGCAAACTGCTCTCATTTAAAGTATCACAGCCAATCAAATTTATCTATCGAAATTTTAGCTCCAAATGATAAACAAATAAAAATCTTCAGCTGGTTTTCAAATTTTCTCATTAAATGAACAAAACTTTAAGCTCTAAAATATTAATGCTCAGAGAGTCTCTTGTTGCATAGGGACTTGTCTCTTTCCCCGGGTATACACTAGACAAAATCGCTGGCGAATTGCTATGAAAAGTTAATACAAATGTAATAACCTTTTCCAAACTTGATTATAATGAAATTCATGTATGTTACCATGGTGGATTTATGTATATATACAATATTTTGAAAGCGTAATGAAGTACAAAGGCGTCGGAAGCAAACTGAAAGTTGGGGGGGGGGCTAAACCAACCAAAAAATACTAGTATAATGTCTATCTTTGCAAAAAAGTCCCCCGGTTCCGACATCTATGAAGTACAATCACAATCAAATCAAAATAACAGTGTAAACAGCAATTAATCGAGTTCTACTGTTCTTTTTTTATTTGCTCGCATTTTCACATAAATTGATCTCTGCAATCAAAACTTTCACTCGCATTTTCCAACTTAGTGAGATGATTGTTTGGTTGAAAAATTACTGAACATTAAAAGCTTTATTTACATTAATTTCATTATTTGATTGAATAATTCCTATCTCTCTGATTGGCTGAGATCCAATTATGTGGAAGAAATACTACGTTATATATACCTGCACTTGACGTTCCAGGTGAATACAAGGATTTATTTCCTCTACAATGATCTAAAAATAGATCAGGAAACTCCAAATTGATA